AAATATTATATTAAAAACTATAAAAGAATGGATGCCATTCTTTTCATAATTAGATAATAATATAAATATTAATTTAAAAATATAAAAAATATGTAATATACTCTCCACCTACACTAACTTATAATTAATCATTAAACAAACTTGAGTAGGTTATGGAAATTAATACGAAGGAAGGAAAAGCTGCCGGATACCCTACTTTTTGTTTTTTTTTTTATCAATTTCTCAGCATTCCTTCTTGTCTGTCTTTTGTTTGAAAATCAAATGATTTTAAAAAAATAGGACGTTGCCTTTCCCTTCTCACGGTAATCTCTCCGAACCGCCTTTCCCTTCTCACTGTAATCTCTCACCAAGCCCTAACTGGTTCCCCTCTTAAAATCAACCAAAAACCATCCAAAAATTTGCTTCTCCCTAATGCACCGCCCTCTCCAATGCACTCTTTGCTGGTTTCTCTCCTCCACTTTTCCAAAATTCATGCAATCCTCACCCAGCCGACCAGCCCCATTGCTCACCTCTGAAAATTAAATCCCCCAAATCCCATTTTCAGATTCGCTACTCTATAATCCCTTGAACCCAAATCTAGAAAATACCATAAACCCATACATCGATCACCATTGAATTCTCTGATTTCAAAATCATAGAGTAAAAACAAAAGGGATGAACAAAAGGAGCCTTCTTTGGGGGTGGAAGTTGCCGGAGACAGCAATGTTGGTGATAGAAAAAAAAGAATCATAGGGAGAGCTCGACTACAGGGAAGATTTGTCATTCAGGTGACCTAAAATCATTTTCTCTATAAATGCATGACTTATTTTATTGTTAAATTGTTGGCTGAAATCTTGAAAAAATGATGGAATATGTCTAGCATACCTCTTGTTGCCTAATCCTCCCACGAACTCTGTTTCCCACTTCTTAGTTGATGTAGTTAGAATTAGGGTTCAACTCTTTGTTATATATTGGTTCAGAGGATAAGTCTGGAAGATAATCCAATAGCGTTTAGATAGAATTGAAATGGGCAAGTTAACATTTCTATTGGTCTAGAAGAGAAAAAAACGCTATTTAACTTTTTTTTAGAGTGTTTGTGATAAACTTTAATTATTTAAATTTAAAAATCGAGAAAAATGAACTTAAAAAAAAAAAATCAGATCTTAAATTAAAACCTAATAATTCAAAATAAAAACACATATTATCCTTAGGTTTTTGTTATCGGTTTCTGAAGAATTTTGAGTTTCAAAATCAGACTTCTTCCCATCGTCCTTGAAGAAAATTGTAGTTTCTCTTGATTTAAGGATTTGATGGAAAAATCCAAGGTAATATTTCTTTCAAGTTTCCTACAACCTAAGGCAATCTTATCATCTTAACCTTACTAGTTGGTGTTTATTGATGATATTTATTTTTTTCTGATCTAGTGCTTTTTAAGCTTCCTCTTTATTGATGTTAACATTACAATGTTTTTAGCTCTTTTTTATTAATTCAATGCTCAAGATTTTCAATTTCTTAGTGGAGCCTATAAATAGTTTTTAGTTCTTCCTATTTAGGGGCACTCAACTTCGGTTTTAGTCCTTTAAAATTTTGTAAAACTTCACTAATTAGCTGTTGTTGCATTTGCCAATTTAAGGGACATATTTTGGTTTCATTTTGATTTTTGAGGTGATGATGGACAAGTTTCAAATGAAATGCTTATTGGAGCTCCTTATTTAGTGGTTATACTAATGGTCTCAGTGATTTTTAAATGAGTATAAGAAACTCTGTTAGGAAAGAAGAAGTAGGACTCAGGATGAAAAAAAGGAAATTGTTGATGCTGGGCGCGCTTTTAGTGTTGGCACCACAAAATATGTGTCGACACCACAACCTTGTCGGCCCCTTTTAGCAATTTTTAATGGTAAATGGCAAATCTCGTCCTCCAACTTTTATAGAATGAGTACTTTAATCCATAACTTAAGATTCATTTAGGTCCCAAAAAGGAACCATTCTTCTCACCATTCAGTCCTTCAACTTTTAAAAGATATTTAATCAATCCCAAAAGCTTCTATTATTATGCATTCAAGGCTTTTTAAAAAAAATAAAAACTATGTAACATCTATTAAAAATCATATATTATCCTTACGAATAATAATACAATCAAGATTAATATAATAGATTAAAGCATATAAAATGCTTCTCATCACTATTATTGCTTTTTATTAATTTCTTCATTCAAATTTAGTTGTTTTAATTTTATTTTTTGATAAAAT